CAAAGTAAAGAAAAAAAGGTGACCTTTCATCATTTGTTGTAAGTAAAGAAAATGCAAAGGCGATCTTTAAAGATTTAAATTAATGTAAAAGTACTTAAAGATAACCTTTACTTCTTTAATTAAATTAAAGTTTAGGTAAAGGTAACCTTGAATTTTTTAAAACCTTTAAGCTTATTTACTTCTGCAGTAAAGTTTTGTAAAGATAAAATTTCAAGCAGTGTAAGGTATGTTATACGTCTGCTTTTGAAAAAAATTTGGTCTAAATCACTAACTTCAAAATTTTCACTCATTCTTGTCTATCCTCAAAAGAAGGCGTGGCCGTTCATTTGAACAACTTTAAATGCCCTTCACCCAACGATACTTTATGTCCTTCACCCAACGATACTTTGAGGCAATTTTGTTTAAATTTGCCCAGCAGTTCTTGAGAAGAAGATGATACTGTAAAAACCTGAGGATAACGACAGCAAGACAAACAACGGATATAAATTTTGAGAAGTCACTTGAGCCGTCAGCTCAGATGAGCTAACAATAGGGGGTAGGGATGACCCTTAAGCTCTTGCCCAACATAATACAAAATACATTTATAGCTCTTCCTATTTTTTTGGATGCATAGGTTAAGTAAATGTATATGTTATATGTAAACCACCAACCTAAAAGCTTGAGGTGTAACCCAGGTATTTCCAAGGGGAAAGAAAATATACCCTGAACAAGGATTTTAAACAAAGAGGTTTTCTGACCTTCATGTTCCATCTATGAAAAGTAGTGCAAGATCACAGCACACTCTCCACCGTACGAAAACTCCTTGAGTGAAATATGAGCCCAACTGAGCCAAGGGAAGAGAAAATATGCTTTGGACAAGAATTTTTCACAGAAAGGTATTATCGGCCATAAATTTCATTTGGAAAATTTATTCAAGACCCACATAAGATTTACACCACTTCTCGAATATACATGTTTTAATGTACAATACTCCTGAGGTTTCTCCCTCACTGTTGTTAATATTTCAGAAAGGAGAAAAAGAGGCTTGGTGGAACATTTACTGGAATCCGTTATGTATCTTTGTAAGGATTTTATGTAGATTAGGATTGCAGTATACATGTAGGTATGGTAGTTCAAGTTCAATTTCATTGTAAAGATTAATTTTAAAAAAAAAATATTCAAAATTGACATAAGATTTTTAAGACCTTCCTCTATACAAAGGGAACTATGAGTAAAGTTGAATAACCATCCGCAGAATTAAATCCAAGTTCCTCCAACATTCAATTAAAATAATAAACCTTACGCAGCTCTGTTAAGGCTGTATAAAGGGGGCGGGGCCTAATTTATACGGGAAAAGTTTACTGTGACATCACACAAATATAGCAATTCCTCACAATAACAGAATATGAAATAATTTGCGAATCTAAACTGCATAAGAGTAATGAACTACATCAAAACTTACCACTGCATTCATTTTTGTCGCTAGTTAAATCCCACAAAGCAAGTTATAAACAAGTCACTGATCGCAATGCACTTGTCGACATGACGTCATCATGGTAAAGTTTGACGCATTTTATGTGCAGTGAGAGGCGGATCAAGTAATTTTTTCACAGTGAAAAATGCATTTTATTATTAAACAGAATATTATTTGAAAATCTTAGGTAGACCATTAATACAAATCTGAAACGTTTGTTTAGTGCCATTATTTAAAAAATATCGAGAGAATGTACTGAATTAATTCTACCGTATTTTTGTATACAGGGTGTGCATGTTTCACGCCGAGGTGCCTCATTAAATCGCCTTTTCGCAAGGGCATACACATAATAGATCTTGACAATTTTTTGAATACACATAATGGACATATTCCTTAACTTGAAAAGTGCTGCTGCTTTTCTGAAATCGATAGCATAACTTAATAAATACATAAAATACTTGGTAAAGGTCACACATATTTTGACATTAGCAAGATAACTTGAAATTTAAACTAATAAAATGCGAATTCTATTTAAAGCAGCAGCACTTTCCATAAACTACAAGTTATGTAGAAACAATCTATAACTTTAATTTTTAAGTTTAACTGGGGTATGCCCTTGCGATATTGAAATTTGTTTGTGACCTACATACAGTACACATTACATGCATTTATCACGTGACTATCAAATAACGTGACCAAACCAAATTTAGTACAGAGCGGGGTATAAAATGTTGTTTCAAAAAATCTTAAAGTCATAAGGTAATATAGTACCTTTACAAAATTAAAATTTATTTTAATAAGGTATGTATTTATGCACGTTTATATTCTGTTGATTTCTTCGAAGTACGCCTTAACAGTGCTGCGTACAAACAATGAAAGTGTTTTTACCAGCTTTGTCAGTTTGAACCAGTAGATATTGAGCATGTAATCTATCATATTCTTTGTTCACTTTTGAATTACTGAAGACAGAAGGATAGATTTTTTTTTCATTTCCCCTTAGCAGCTCAATGCGTGATTTAGCAGCTCAATGCGAGATTCATCATCCACCTGATGCATTTAATCCATCGTGACAAAGTGTTGAGGTTTTTTCTTTTATGTTTTGTCCGTGGCCTGGTGTAATTTTCCACAGAATTTATAATCTTTCTTAACCCTTTCTCTACCGGCGCATTTTACGTGATTTTGGAGACCTTTTGACAGAGCATTATCAAATTATTTCTAACTTTTTAATCAAAGGAGAAAGCTAGGCATAATGCATACCACTTTGTAGGGAATTTTTTAGAGATGATTTTTCATGACTACTCACATACCCAACGACTGACCTTATTAGTAGAAATGGAGGTCAAAGGTCAATTAAGTGCAAAATTCTATCATTTTTTTTTTTTATATATATACTTTTTAATCTTCAAACTAAAAATTTACAACGATGTAGGTTGAAATAGGAAATTTGGAAGATACTCACAAAAGAGCATTATACTGTACTACATGAATCACATAAACTTTTTTTTCAATTCTGTATATAATTACTTAAAAGGGGTTGCTTAGCAACATAATATTTTTTTTAATTTTCGGGCAGCAATTTTCGTTTTTTACTCATCCTAGACACATTTATGCATTCCAGCACACCTTAAAGTCAGATGTGAGGTCATAAAAATTAAAAGGGATATACAGAAGATAAATTGTCTTAAAGTTTGACCTCATTAGAACTATTTTTAGGAGGTCAAAGGTCAAATAAGTGCAAAAATTTCATCTACATTTTCAACACTTTTCAATATTCTTGCTAAAATTTTACACAATGGATGCTGAAATAGAAAATTCTGAAAACACTCTTTAGAAGGCATTATGCTGAACTGCAATATCCACACACCATTTAAGTTTAAATTTGTGTTTAATGACTTTTAAGTGGTTGCTTAGCAACTACAACATTTTTATTTTTATTTTTCGGCTGTATATGTTTGTTTTCACTCAATCTTGACACTTTTGTGCACTCCATGATATTGTTAAGTAAGATATGGAGCCAAAATAATGTAAAGGATATACAAGAGATTCTAATTGTATGTGCTGATGATCCTACTAAGATACAACTAAAACACCATTATCACATTAATCAATTTAATTGATAAATGAATATTTTTGGTTGCTAAGTAACAATACCCATAGTACAATTTTAACTAAAATTCACATTTCTGCCTCCATACTGTATAATATCAACATACTTACAAAGCATAATGTTTAGCATATATCAAATTATTTGAAAAGATATTCCTCAGACATATTCTATTAGGTTTTTAGCAATAATTAACCTTAATATTTTTTATGCAATAAAGGTCAAAGGTCATTAAGTGCAAAATTTGTGCTTCAGATTTTGTCTCTTTTTTCAAACTTTTCCTTCCACTATGAGAAAATAAATTAAAAATTACAACAACGAAATAGAGGCCTTTTACACTACTGTTTATTTAAAATAATTCAATTTGATTTTTAATAAATATTTTTGGCTGCTAAGCAACAACACCGAGGGAAATATTATACAAAAATACTTGAGGTACTATCCATTTGACACTGTAATGTTTCACTCTTCTTCCCTTAAAAACAGTTCAAATTAATTATCTAAAAAGTTATTAAAATGAAATATGTTTTTTTATAATGAATTTCACATTCATTTTACAAAGATCTCCAAATTTGATAAAAATTTAATTAAAATTCTGACAAACTAGCATGATTGCTTACATATCAACAAATGTATGGCAAATTACAACTATATGTAAATTTAATATAATTGATAATCAAGAAGTTGAACATAATTGTTGAGAAACTTTTATGCAATGTCATCAAGTCTCATAGCAGTTTAATATTTATATATGTACATATATTAGAATTCACTGGACATCAGAAATATGTACTTTAAAAATACATGATGTTTTTCATAGCTTTCTCTTTTTACATGACAAATCTGCACTCTTTCGAACATCTTCTCCTTCTTTACTATGCCATTTCTTAAAACAATTTCTGTCACTTGATAAACAAAGAGGAACTTGGCATGATGGACAAAATACAAGTGTCTTATAAATAGGAGACTTCTTCTTAAAAAGTATTGCCTCAGCATTACAAAATGTACAATCTTTTCTCTTATCTAAAAATTCAGGTATACATTTAACAACACTTTCTTTTAATAACACATTTCATTCAAACCCATCAGTGACAAAGCAAGTGATTCACAGAATTGAAGTTGTGCACACCCTGAAGAACAATTTGTTATCTGACTTTCATGCGATTTTCTAAATTCTTGAAAAAGAATATAAGAATTCACAACCATTATATCTAATAAATGAAAAAAAAAACAGAACTTTCTACCAATGATATTGTGTTCTTAAATAAGATGGATATCTATTTGTAAACTGGTTTGAAAGATCAACAGCTCCCATACATTTATTATAATTATTTGCTACTACAGGTTGTACTAGTTCTTTTTTGTTCCAAGTTAATCTAGATTTCATAGTGCGTTCACAAACAGTTGTAGCTGAACCCTGATGTAAAGGTGACATAAAAGTGACTACTTTACAGTCTTTCCACTGAACAAATACAAATTCATCAACTCTGTGCCATCTAAGTCACCACGTGTTGCTACTCTTTCCCAATTTTTTACATCTCTAAGTTCATCAGGTATAGATAAACTGTTTGATTTCAGTACCCCAACAAGGTAAAGTTTCCTTGCAAACAATTTTTTGCCAAGAGCTAAAGATGTATAAAAACAATCAGTAAAAAGCCTATACCCTTGAACAAAAAGGGATTCACATAATCTAAGTGTTACATTGTGTCCAATACCTTTCGCATGATCAGTAAATATGGTGTTCTTTTTACCAAGGTAAACAAAGAAGTCGTATGTGTACACAGACATGTTACAAGCTACAACCCAAAGCTTTATACCAAAGCGAATAGGCTTGTCATTAATAAATTGACGACTACCAGAGAACTTATGTTTTGATGAATCCATTCTCTCATCTACAGCTATTTCCCTGTGTGGCTGATATAATTCCTTTGACTTTTCTTTAACATGGTCAACCAATGACTGTACACGCGTCAACTTCTCAGCTGTTAAGAATAAGATTGAAAGCAATGTAAACTGTGCTTCACTGACCCTATCCGTAGTTTTTAGAAATGCTACATTTAAAGATAAATTGCAAAAAGTATTAATGTACTGGGATACCCTTTTAGATAAAAAAAAAGAAGCTGTAATTCAGTCATTTACTTTTGTTCAAGAACTGCAATGCAAACATTAATTTCCTGACTTATTAGCTTCAGAGACTGAGTTAATATTTATGTTACATACATGTAAATGCAACTGTGGCATATTTACAAGCTAATTGAAGGGTTTAAATGTCACAAATCTTCCTCAAGTACGAAGACATAATACATAAAAACAGTAAGAGAAACCTTTGTTGATATCAGCTGGAGGTGTTACTTGTAAGAAGGATAAGATGGCATGAAATCTAGTTCTCGACATATCTCCTGGCACTGGGTTGTTCCGATAGAGAGCCTGCGTTGACCTATACCTTTCTAGCATCTGGAACTTTACCACAGACATGTATAAAATAATTCCGAGAAATCTGAAACAAAAGTACATTTATTTCTTTTAAATAGTTATGGTTCAAGTTGTGCTGACCTTACATAATAAGGAATCTAAATAAGCATTAGTTTCATGTATGAATTAAGTTGTAAGATATTTCATATTTAGTGATTTGATGATGTAAATAAGTTGAATCTGATACGTCAAGAAACATTTGTTTAAAAAACACTATTACCCACTGAATAATGAAGCCATGCCCTCAAGCATAGCAACAGTCAACATTGCTTGATGACATTTAATATTAAAAAATATTATATTGAATGTGCAGAATTTAATGCGCGCAGGGTTCATTGTTCACTGTAATATTTGTATTAAAAATTCAGTATAATATAATAAATATTGCATGTTACTTTGTAGTTGAGTGAAACATTGGAAATTTTCATCCCTTGAAAACGGTTAAACCATTATCAATCTCAGCTGCACCTTGGTTGACAATAGTTTTCTTGGGGTGAAATTCTCCATGTTACATGCAACTACATGCAGTACATACTTATATAATATGTAATTGCAGTTTACAGAATCTATGGTAAATGCAAATGACTCTAAGGTAATACAAAAATAGCCTGAGCTGGTAAAGGTGATATTGAGGAAATTCACTTTATAATCTAAATTACATTAATTTAGAATTAGTAATACCTGTACAATTCCTCTACAGTGAGAGGAGTCCAATTCCCTTGACTTGCATAGGATGACCTTTCCCCTCTAGATATAAGTATTTCGGCATGATGATTGGTGGCCACATAGATCGAAAAAACCAAAGCCTCCGTCAAAAACAGTTTTGAAAAATCAACTGGTTCTCTGAACTGCCTAGCGCCATATCTGAAAGAAAACTGGACATATAAGACTTAAAGTATTTCTCATAACCCTGATTATGAATTTGGGAGCACATTCATAAAGAGAGTGAATAATGTTTCATGTTTTGTTTTCTCTAAACTATGCATGTCTATGGTATATATTAAATTGTATATGAGTTTTTTGCTATATTTAACCTTAAGAGCTGAATGCCAGGTTGTCTTTCTGGATGAAATGTGACAGTTCTCAGATCTGGTGCCCCTGTATCCTCTTCACTAGCATCTCTCCAGTGCATATCTGGGTTTGCGAGTGGATCATCACTGGCAAAATAAATCTGTGAACTCCCCACTGAAGATTGGGATACCAATGCCCTTTTATATATATTTTTTTTAAAATAACAAACACACTGCAATACATTTGTCCTCTATTGACCCTATAATTTTTCATAGTACACCACACCCCAATCACAATATTATTAGAAATTGGAAATGAAACTGAGAAATTAAAATCTGAATTGTACATGAAATTCACATATTATTAAAAAAAATTCTTTTAAATTCCTATGCTTTTGTTCAAAGTTCCAAATGACTCTCGGGTTGTGGTGGTGGTGGGGTGGGAGTAGGGTGGCTGCAGTTCTCAACTGGCAAGAAAATAATTTGTCTTGTTTGGTGCTACATGTACCACCCCCCACCCCCACTCCTCTCATGAAATTAGAATTGTGGAGTTTGGACAAGTTATATATCTTGTACATTTATATTATTTTATATATATATATATATATATATATATATATATATATATATATATATATATATATATATATATATATATATATATATATATATATATATATTTGGCTTGACAAACTTATAAGAAAACAAACTCTCTCAGATCATATTGGAAAGAAATAATCTGTCTACTAGCATTGAAATAAATAATTTGACTCGAAAGACTTTGCCCCTACCCCCCCCCCCCAAAAAAAAAATAAAATAAAAATAAATAAATAAATAGTGGCTCCCCTTAGAGAACCGAACCACATTCTGGTCAGTCAATTATTACTTGACTCCCGTCCTCATAATCACTGAACTAGGCCTAGGATATTACTTTATATGTATCATTTGTATACCCCGTTCGAAATGCAAATATCAGCAACGCGCAACATGCCGTGTTCCTGACCTTGACTGGACCTTAAAAATATATCACTATGTCTTACGCAAAATAATTCTTTGTAAATTGTTTAATTTTTCCCCTCATTACTAAGTTTCAATACTTTTATAAATATAGGTACTTTCTTTCACGAAATTGCAAATACACATCAAATTGATAATTTTCCTGATCAAAATTCTGACAAGTGTGTAAAAACAGTAGATCTAGACTTACACGTCATCAATATTAAACACAGGATCGCTTGGGTCAAGTGCATCCTGTTACAAGAGATCTAGGGCACCCTCTTCATCTGACGATATCAGGTCGTTTTCCATGGTCAAGCAGAATAAGTAGACTGTAGTTTAAAGATAATGCTGTGTTGTTTTCAGTAGAAACGGAAACACGTGGTGTCCATGCATCTGCACATGTGATGCGGGTACGATGCGAGTACGGAAGGACAATAATATGCGGAATTATTATGTTCCGAAAAAAAAAATGCTAAAACCTTTATAATAAATATTTCATGTCTTCCGATGCAGCATCTTAATAATTAACAAAATCCTTCTACAATGTTTGATGTAGGTTATAATTTTTAAATAATCACTCAGTTAAGCCTACATGAATAGCATATTTAATACTGGTATGTTGACGAAACTTCTAACATTTCTGCATTGAAATAGATCCTAATCAGAATAAATAGATTAAGTAAATAAATAAATAAATAACTATTCAGTATTGTTTTAAATTCCATGCATAAACTACACTTCTATTTTTTAGAGGTACATCTATACCATGTACATGTAATAAATCGTGTCACAACTCAAATCTTTCACATTACGTTGATCACTTTTTCATTAAAATTAACAATTTTTCTTCCTAGAATGCAAAACTTGAACTATTGTAGAAAGGCGAATACGTATCAGATTTTGATGAAATAAACACTAATGAATAGGAAATTTTCTGTACTCTTACCATCTAGATTTAGTTTTGCCTATTTCCATACCCAAATATGAGTAAAAACTCCTTTTATTTAAACTTGGCCAAAATTTCCCTTGGAAAACGGAAAAGTGATAAAATTTTATAAATTTTCACCACAAAAAGGAAAGAATTAAAAAAAAAAAATTATATACTCTGGAAGCTTAGGACACTGTCTTTTTGACAGTATTTGACAAAATTTATATATTTTACGCTGAATTTAAAATTTCACCAGTCGTTCAAAAAATCAATGTCGCATATCGAAATAACGTCATTTTGCAAAACTATACTCTAACATAAAAAATTGATATACTTGTTTCAAGTTAAAAATTCAATTGTGAATTTTATATAGAAAGAAAGTACATAAAATTTCCTAAACATTGATACTAAACATTATAATATTGTTTGTAAAATTAAGCTCAATAGTGATGTGTAAAATACGCATGCCTTTTTTTGCGCCATCGCTCAAATTGACCGGTACGGAAGTGAAGGGGTTAATATAACAAGGGCACCGCAAAGCGGAGATCCCCTCGTAAAAAGCATGTCTCTAGATCAAGATAGCATTCTACATCGATTCCGCTGCAAATTACGTTACTTCTGTTTCGCACATGACGTAACTAGCATACAAACACACATACACATGATTGCATTACTATATCCCTTCAAACTCCGTTGCTAGGGGATACAAATAGAGGAAAATTAATTTTCTTCAGAAACAGACAGTGATGCCAAAATTGAGTCATGAGAAACACTTTTATCCGTGTAAACACTCCACTTTGTCTTATTATATCGCCGAATTTTAAAACGTAGTTGAAAACGTTCTTGGAATTTTATGACATTCGTTATAATTATATATCCCAAGTTCAAGGGAGTTCATTCATACGGAAGCCTGTATATGCCAAGTAGAAAAAAAAAATTATCTGGCTGTATAAATAACTGGCGGCCGCAAGATAATTACTGTAAACCAACTGTTATTCGTGTCATCTTTATTCGCAATATGTCAATTTAAAACTCACCCGCGACAATTGATTTTGGCCACTTAGGAAATATTCTCCACAAATACAAAGCAAAATAAATGGTTCGCGGCTATTAATATTCGCAAATTAACGAAGGTCGCAAAACTCGCGGATACCTTTCGCACGTGAATAAAAGTTGGTTAACATTATTTGAGGGCAGCCAGATAATTTTCTGGCGTCCGCCAAATAAATAGATCTGGGGACCGCCACATAAATAACTGGCAATATTCTAGCCAAATAATTTTTCTGGCGGCCGCCAGAGAACACACCAATACCGGTTGACTCAAAGTCCTAAATATGACAATGGAGCATTGATTTAATTTCTATGAAAATTAAAATCTTCTTACAATATGAGATGTTTTCAAAGACATGTAATTAAGAATTCCTTAATATTTCTAACTGTAAATAAATGTAATTGTTATAAATTAAATAAGATTCAAGGGTAGCACAAAAAGGCTTACAGGTATCCTTCATCTTTCTACAAATTTGAAATGAAATTTATCCATTTTTGCTGTCTTTTATACATTTTCAGGTTGCATGTAATAAAAAAATCACATTTTAAATTCCGGACAATTTATGTACAAACATTTCTTCGGGCTAATTTTACATTAGCGTTACTGTACGTTCTTCGTGTATTTTTCTTCAATCTTTTTTCTTGCAATCTCGAAAATAACAAAATTATTCCCAGATTTTAGGGTAGCTATTCTGAGCACTCGCATTTTTTTTCTTAAATGAATTTGAATTTAATATATTTAGTGAGGAAGCCTGCAAATAAAACGCTTTTGTGTAATTGGTCCAAAGGAATTATTCCTATAAGTATGCTTTACTGTTATATAGCGACAATTCATATCATCAAACAGAAATTAATAATATTGAGGTAAAATAATAATTTGAAACAATCAGAAAGATTCTTTTTTATCTGTTTTGTGTATATGAAATTGAGACTTTTTTAGTAAAATAAAAGTTGCATGAAGATCTAGACTTGATGACAACAAAGATCTTTTGTCGTGGGAACTACAAATTGAAATAAGAAAAAAAAAACTTATACCTTAATATTTGAAAATCAAGGAGGGAAGGGTTTGGCAACAAACCTTGTTTGGGAAAAAACATAAATGTGGAAAACTTTAAAGGAAGTTTTAATATTAATATTAAAAAAAAGATTCAACCAAGCTTCATAATAAATTTTTAATCTTTTCTCGCATAAACAAATCATAATAACAAAAAAATATTCAAATCATTTTTCTATCTTATGAGAACTTGATTTTACTTTTTTCCTGAAAAGTTTATAAAATTTCTCCAGACATTTCTCAATATTTTTTTCAAAATTTTTTTCTGAAGCTTTCTCTGACATATCCCAAATCCTCTGTTTACGTATGAGATAAATTGCTGCCGAGACAAATACAAGACCCATCACGCCATAAAGTAGACCATCAGCAACCATTGTTCTCCATGTTCTCTACAAAAGAGAGCAAACTATTTCTTCTAACGCAGAATGATTACAGACTATTTACAAACATTAAGTTCCATGGAAATGAAACAAAAATAATGTCATTTACTTCATAAAATCTATCCTATGCTTATTTAACTTGGTATTCTTATATCCATTTCTTATAATTAAAATGATATATTATCCTATTAAAGTTAACAAAATCACTGAGAAATGGTATAAATTAGATGTGTGTAATTAGACCCAATCGTCCTATTTCAGTAGTAGGTCAGGGGCAGGTCAAAGTTATTATATTTTCTCCAGCATTACGGTTTGTTTGTATGTTTAATGTCCCTTCAAGAAGTGTTCTATAATATTGGAACGTCATCATTTGCCGGTTAAGGGCTGTTTTGGACCTGTAGTCAGCACCTAGGGCTTTTGAGCAGTGAGAGATATTTTTTCGCACCAGCACCTAAACCTGGCCTCTTTTTATACGTTCTCATCAGAAGGAACGGGCTCCACGTCTTGTCTTGATTTATGTCCTGCCTGCAAATTCGTTTTGCTTAAAAGATATTTGAGATTAATCACATCTCGTTACCGTTTTTTTTTTCTTTTTTAATAACGAAAGTAGAATATTACATGTTTCACTAAATGACATGTTTGAAGGATAAGGAATAAAGTTATGAAAATGAAAACAAATAAAACCTCTATAAAAAAATATGCTAATTGATAGTATTTATATGCGATAGTATTTAATATCTGATATATTTATGTTAAAGATTACAAGTCTAGATATAACTCAGATAAAGTGATGGTGACATGGGATTGAGAATTCAAGGCTCAAGGTACAAGAATTTGAAGACAAATTCTATCCAATCAAATTTTAACCTTTATTAAATGAGAGATTCATTCATTACTATAAAGCTTGCTAGTAAAGTACGGTGTTTTCGTCATCAAATTTCCCTTTTCTATGAGAAAAGGTAATAAGAGAAAGGTATATCATTGCATATTATCCGGAATGGATTTTTTCAGGCAATCAGCAATAAACTTTGATAATGCAAACGTACGGAAATGTACCCTTTTTAATTTAATTTTAACATGAAAATAGCTTTTCTGTGACTTAAACTTGTTTCTACTGTATCCAGACGTATTAATTCACATATTATAGAATAATAATAATAAGGATTGAATAGGAAATGATTGGTACTCAATAATGATTTTACAAAAAAAAAAAAAAAAAACTTTTTTTTTTCTTTTTCACTTACAGTGTACATGATCATTGATAATTTTAAATGCATTTCTTATTATGATTGAAATAATAATAATTAAAAAAAAACCTAAAGAACACCAAAAACATACCGGGTATTCGGTGGTGACTTCAAACGTTTTTTCATGTATATTGACTACAAAACGAACGATAGAACCAGAGCAATCGTTGTCGACGTCATACAAAATCTCAATGTGAATATCCTCCACATAGATATCGACACGTGCGTTTTTATAATCCATCTTATATAATTTCTTTAGCAAATCGTCAACGATCTTCTTTAGTAAGTGTGTGTGCTTTGACAAAATCGATTTATTACAGCAAATAAGTCTGTGAATATCTTCATCAAATTTCTTTGTTCCATTCTATATAGGGTTAAAAAAAAATAAAATAATTGTTCATTTCACATTATTTTGCTTATAATCAATATGTTGTTCCTTCATCACTATTCATGTTTCATAGAAATACAATATTTACCAGCGGTTTCTTTAACTTGAAACCTTCGTCTTCTTTCTGAAAATTTCAACGAATAGATTGCAATGCAGTTTGTCTATGAAGATGATCTGTAGGCAATAACACACTGAATAAACACATATTATACAGCCAAAGGTACAATCTGGACTCTCGATATTAGAATTCACAGAAATTTCACGAAGACGGAGTAACTTATAGAACAGAGCGTACAAGTAGGACATATCGATAAATGATGTGCAGTTTATTCATTAGATTGCTTGCACGTGATTTACTTCTCATTAATATTCATAAACTCGAAATATTCCATTTCTTTCAATTTTTATAATAAAAACTGCAAGCGCAGGTTTTGTTTTGTTTTTTTTTTTTCTTTAAACTTACATCATAGCTATATGGGTAAAATTCTGTGTGATTATCCGTTGGCAACTCATGATACCGTCTTTTTAATAATAAATAGGTTACATAGATGCAAGAAATTGCCGTTTTCAAATTAGAAAAGCGGTCGCACCTCTTCATGAAAAGATAAATCATCTGTATTTCATAAAAATAAGCATTCCTCTGCACATACTAATCGGCGAAAGAACTCTGTCAACTTGCAATAAACACTTACATTTCATCACCAAAAATAATAACTCTAATTATGTGCTCTTTCCTTCAATAAAACAATATACTCTCACTTCAGATTTTCAAATCAAAAAGGTGGTCGCAACTTTCATTTTGGCATCAACAATATTGTCGATTCCGGTAGAAGATATTAAGAAAATTCAGAACATTGGTGGGAGAACTTTATACGAAATAGTCAGGATATAAAAATTTGCAATTTTTTGTACGTTCTCTATATAAACCTGTATGAAATCTACAGCTATAAAAGCTCCCATATGGCCGATATTTTGAAATTGATATTTGAATATTTGGAATTTCTTTTAAATAAAGTTTTGCCATTAATTAAGTTTGCAAATATTAAAGTCTTAATGCCATTTTTTGGTACAGTATTAAATGAAAAATATTCTCTTCTAAATTTATGGGTCCATAACTTAATAACATAATACCACCGCTTCTCCTCCCAAAAATTAGATATGGAATTAGGCGAATATTCCATATGTTTAAATTTGGCCTTATCAAAGATTTCTTTCCGGTAATTTGTCATTTTTTTTTTTCTTTATAGTACCCCTACCCTTTTGCAATTGATGCTGGATGCCTGACATTTACTTTTCTACATGGCATCAAAAATAAGTTAGTCCAAATTAATGTAACTACCCTAACAAAAACTACTATAGTAATCTATAGTAAACTATAGTTTACTATAGTTAACTATAGTACCAAAGTTAAAACTTTGGAACTTTGATTCACTACAGTAAAAACTTTGGAACTTTGATTTACTATAGTGAAAACTTTGGAACTTTAATTTACTATAGTAAAAACGTTGGAACTTTGATTTACTATAGTAAAAACTTTGGATCTTTGATTTGCTATAGTAAAAACTTTGGAACTTTGATTAAGTACGATATATCCTGTGCAATTATGTTTTTGATTCCCATTCTTTAAATTTTATGATATTTCAAGTTTAAGATTCATTAGAGCTTTAGAGAACATTTTAAAACCCGACCCTTCCTCTATAAGAATAATGTACAAGATATAAATTTTAATGTAAAGGTTGTCGCTTGCGCCAATAAATAAGCAATATTTATTTCAATTTGTTTAATTTTGATGTTATGCAGATGTAACGTAATTCTTATTTATGGAGAAAAAATTATATACTATAAAAAATAATGTGTCATTAAGAATCAAAATACCTGCTTCATCAACTTCAGTCAACATGTATTTTTTTTTTAATTTAAAAATGTAAACATTGCATTTGAATTAACTACTTTGTATATTAAATAAAGATGTACAACAAAAACCAGCCCCAACCAACCCCATATAGACACATCCCCTAAAACGGCTAAATAATAATAATAAAAAAAAAAATAAGAAAAATACATAAATTGTTAAACTAACGAAAACACTTAAAAACGTTGATTAAATATAGTAAAAACTTTGGAACTTTGATTTACTATAGTAAAAACTTTGGAACTTTCATTTACTATAGTGAAAACATTGGAACTTTGATTTTCTGTAGTAAAACCTTTAGAACTTTGATTTACTATAGTGAAAACTTTGGAACTTTGATTTACTATAGTAAAAACTTTGGAACTTTGATTTACTATAGTGATAACTTTAGAACTTTGATTCACTATAGTTAACTATATTAAACTATAGTTAACTATAGTTTACTATAGTATTTTTTTCTTAGGGTATAGTGATTTTTTCCACACATTTTTATTACTTTTCCCCCTACTTTTGGCTAGGAATTTATGTTCAGACAATATGGCTGGTTTGCTTATCCTTTAATCCTATGAGTTATCCTTTAATAATATAACAAAAAAATTGTTACTGACTCTTTTAGCATAATACGAAGCTTTATTCACTTTCGAAGTATAATATTCACCCTGTTCTTCAAGATTAATGGATATTGTATTCCACATGTGGATAAACCATCGCATTGACTTTAAAAGCAGAATGATTGTATATTGTTAGATTATGCTTAGACAGAGGTTTTTAATAGCACCACACTCGTTAGATTTTCTTATGCAGTTACAGAAAGATAAATGTAGAAAGATAGAGGAGGAGAGTACTAAGGTTTGTGTAAAACCTTACCCTCAAGTATATACCGCTCCCATATTTGAAAAAAAAAACAATAATTAATACATAAAACAAAATAATATATATTAAAATTTGAGATGAACCTCAACAATGAGCTAAACTTCATAAGTCTGTAAGTTTTTAGATTTTTTTCCTTCGAGTTTTGGTAAAAAATTTACATATAAGAAAAGTAAATTTTCCTTTCTTGGCAAAAATTGTTGTGCAAATTGTTCCTCTTAAAAACTTATTTCATTTTTAAAATATTTCTTTTTAGATTATTAAAATTTTTATGTCTAATATTATTTCTGCTTATATTAAAGTAAAACCCAATCGAGTCTGTTATCCTCCATTGTTCTTTGTATTCAAAGTTGACTGGGATGGCATATCAACTGGGAAAATCCTGGATAACACGTACTAAAAGAAGATAAAAAAAATTGATAATGTATTATATATTGTAATTAACCAAAGGATGAATGCTCAAATTGTCGCATACGTGGCGCAGTTGTTAGCCTAAGAGCGTTTGCTCTAGAGTCACGAAGTAGATTGATCCTTATGTCGCGGGTTCGACTCCCACTGTGGATTTTGGAGAGACCGATCACTCGGATTCGGCCGTATAAAGCAAGGTATCGTGTCAAGTAGGATATCCTTCATCCCTAACAAAAACTCACTATAGTTAACTATAGTGTACTATAGTGAAAACTTTGACACTTTGATTTACTATGAAACTTTACTCGGGAACTTTTTTGAGATTTCAAAGCTTAAAATCTCTTAAATTCGGTTACAGTTATGTAAAATTTGGAAATAATATGTGAATATACAACTTATTCTTCCATCTTATGTAAAAAAAAATTGCATATGTTAATAGAAGAACAAAAAATACAAGAATCTGAAATCCATGGTAAAAATACTTCATTTTCTATAGTTAAAAAACTTTGATACTATAATAAACTATAGTTTACTATAGTTAACTATACTATTTCTTTTTGTTAGGGACTGCTCAATGGCCCTGAGTGCAAAGTACATGTCTAAATTTTGCAGTCCTCCACAGGCTGATGGCGGCATCTCAATATGAGTAAAAAAAACCCCAGTTTTTTCAACCCACAAGCATTGATAAGTTGAAATAAACCAAATAAGTTCATGCCATTTTTGTATGTATTTTCATTATATCTCATACAAGTCTCTTATTTATAGTCTGAACATTGCCATTACACCTGATCCCCTGTAAACAGGGAACATTAAATACTTCAACAAAAATCAAACAGTAGGACAACTGCTTATCATGGTAAGTACAAGAGAAATAAACTGATTATTTACGACATTTCTTTCCACAATATACAGCCCTGTTGCTATCAGATTTAATGTCAAAACGTAATTCGTAAGAATGCATGCTTGAAAAAACACACATACATTTTGCAAATTAATCGAAAATAAAATAAAAAAGACGGTTATAAACTATTAAAATAGTTGAAATACAAATATGGACTAAGCATAATTAAGATAGATTGATTAGTTTTAAAATCGTTATGCATTTTCTAAATGCCCTTTAAATTAGATTAGACCAGAGAAATATCCTTAATTATTTATTTTAATTTTTTTGTATTGAGCATAGTAAGATATTCTATAGAAACGCTGAAAATATGAATCAATCTACAAGAGGAGGTTCAGTAAAATAGAAAAAAAAAATGAATTCATAAACATTCATTGATCATGTTAATTGAATGTTACTATATTTCGGTGATATTTTAACTTTATCTGGGTGCATAATACTTTGAGAATGCAATGGACACATTTTTTTCCTTATTTTTTGCAGAATGCTCACTGTTTTTGTTTTAAATTAATAAGGCATAATTGAATATGCAATAGCACATAATCGACATTTTAGTACTTTCATAAAAAATAGTAATAATTAGTTTCAATCCAAAGTAACATCATGATAGTTATTCCAATGGTGCCATGGATCTCCCTTTGAGATGAGATACTAAATAAAGACACATTTATACCTTGCGATTTTTTTGAAAATATTTCTTTTTATTTCATGATTTTAAATACATTAAACAATTTATTAAAAAGGGCCTAGTTTTCATGAGCCTTAAGTGTTTTTAAAATTTCAAAAACTGAGCAGAGGATACAGCTGTGTGCAATGGAAAGACAACTACAGATAGAGATTGCAGCATATCCGAAGAATTTGAAGGCACCTTTCAGTAGTGTGAGGTGAGAAACATGCGATCGGTGCGGTCGCAATCATGGTTAACCATTTTAAATAGTCCTGTAGTATAAGTAAAAATGCTCAATAAATGTTCAGTAAAATTTACCAAAATACGACAATGTATTTTATCGATAGGAGAATTTTCAATAAAATC